TGTCTTCAGCTCTGTGCTTCTCAGAGTGATGTGAGCTTGCAGCTGCTTCTTCCTTTTAACTGCTAGTGGGGGTGTGACTTGATTGGGTGGGGGCTTGGCTGTGTTCTGATTGGGTGGGGGTGTGTTCTCATTGGTTGGGGGTTTGGCTGTGTTCTGATTGGTTGGGGGGTTGGCCGTGTTCTGATTGGCTGGAGGTGTGTTCTGTTCAGGTGGGGGCTTGGTTGTGCTCAGGTTAGTCTTAGTTGCTGGGGGATTTGAGTTGGTGAGCTGTGATCTTGCTGTTTGGCTTCGAGTCCCCCAGCAACTAAGACTAACCTGAGCACAACCAAGCCCCCACCTGAACAGAACACACCTCCACTAGCAGTTAAAAGGAAGAAGCAGCTGCAAGCTCACATCACTCTGAGAAGCACAGAGCTGAAGACACATGCCTGAAGATGATGAATGAGACTTCATCGAAACGTTGCCTAGATACTTCCAATCTTACGCGGGAGAAAACCCGAATAACCAAAGAGATATATATATATATATATGTAAGATACTACACAGGCATCACATCAAGACTGCCTTCAAAACAGACAGAAAAATAGCAGCCATCCTTAGAAACCCCAAAGATAAAATTGACCTGGAAAACCAAGGCATATACGAAGTCCCCTGTGCATCATGCCCAGCCACATACATTGGACAGACCAATAGAAGAATAAGTACCTGCCTGGATGAACACAAAAATGCAGTAAAAAAGCTGGAACACACTTCCTCACTAGTCCAACACATGAAAGCCACAGGTCATAGCATCAACTTCAATGGCACCAAAACCCTAGCCACTATAGAAAACCCCAGCCACAGAATTATCAGAGAAGCTATAGAGATTGAAAAAAGACCTGAAAGCATGAATAGAAGAAATGATTCCAGCAGACTGTCAATTATTTGGAAGCCTGCACTCACAAACAAAAAAATCTCCACACCACAAGCTAGGCAAACACCTGGGCACAAACAGATCCCCTCTGATACCTCCAGCTCAAACACACCCCAACCAGGCACCCAGATGAAACCTAGCTTCCTAACAAATTATAACTGTCCATTTACTCGGAGCCAAGCTGCACTAAAAGCCTCCAATGCAGGAACACAATGTTGCCAGCAAACCAAGCCAAAAAAAGCCACAAAACAGACAGAAGATATTAGAAACACCAATCAGGCAGAACACAGCAAACTGCAAGACCAATAAACACAGACCAAGACTCTCAACCAATCAGGATGAAGAAAAAACCATTCTGGCACAGCAGTAGGCTAGCCCCAAATTTAAAACTGAAACAACTGTAAAAGTGTGACTCACAGACGAACACAATACAGAAGCCTGATGATGGCAGATGAGATTCTGCCGAAACATTGCTACAACTTTAAAAGCACAACTATAATGACGTGGGAAAATACCCGAACAAAGCTGAATACCATACATACATACATACATACATGTGCCAGCTTACTTATTTTCTATTCTTGATTCTCTCTGCTAGCCTGAGGAGATGACAAGATTGAGAAGCATGAATAGGCAGCTCCAGATAAATGTAGACTGTACTCAGAAAGAAATTGACCTCCTTCAGTCTAGAGGTAGGTATTTTCAATGATTTTCTGTATCTGAAATGCATTGTTTTGGAGCTTTATGTAAGAATTTAAGAGATTTTATGAATATTATTGTGTTTTCCTATGATAGTCATAGAAAGATAACCAGATCTATTTTCTTTTTACTCGATGTATTGTTTTGATACTTTAGTTAAAATGTATTTGGAAATACTGATTCTAGCTGTATCATAAGTGACAAAATTTGCAAGCATTCTTTGTCATATACTGGCAGCTTCCAGAATAGCAAGGCTATACGACTTTACGACACTGTTGTTTGCTTCATTTCAGTATCATTTCATGTCAAAAGCACACTTAACCAGTAACTTCTTTTACCTTTTAAACATTTGTTCTGAACAAAGTACATTATTTTCTGCTTTTTATTAATAGGAAATTTTGACCTGAAAGCCATGAATAATTTTTATGATAATATAGAGCCTGGTCCTGTTGTGCCACCAAAGCCATGTAAAAAAGGTGAGTCACTACATAAATGTTCAAGATGTAGTTTGTAGAATTTTTTTGCAGAGGGATTCTTATATTAGAAGGAAGGAAATTAGATGTATATGTTTCTTATGGCCACAACAGAGAAGGCACACTTCCTAGGTCCCACAAGAATGACAGCAGTTAATGGTAGGAACCTAGAGTGCACCTATTCTGTTGAAATATACTGGGCAGGCAGAAATAACTATAGACAAGCAATCCCATAGTTATTCAGATACTACAATTCTGGCATCAAGCCCTATGCCATATTTAGCTTTATAGGTTCTCTACATTACATTTCTCTCATATTTGAGTAGAAGTTATAGAAATAGTAGTTTACAGAAGTATAAATATTGTTGCCATTTGGTCATATTGTACAAACTATGATCCTTGGAGAGAAAAACAATGCAGTTTAAAAATTATTAAATATACAGTAATTGCTATAAATCAGTTTGCTGACAATGTTCAAATGAATGGAGATTGTACATTATATATAATCTAAAGTGCATATATAAATATTGAATAGTTCACCCTTCTGTAGAAGATAGAGGCATTTATACATGATTTTCCATGCACCATTTTGTGTAGTACTTTCAAAATCTTTAATTAATTAGAGTAAAATATAGGAAATACTTTGTTAGAGTATAAAATAAACGTTTAATCAAAATCAGCCTATAAGTAACATGTCAGAGTAATGTTCTGGACCAGGGGTCGCCAACCTTTTGGATCCCAGGGCCCACCAAATCCATACTTTTAAATCCCGAGGACCACTAATACGATTTTTTTTAAAAAGCTAATATATTTAATATAATTTTTTATATTAAATATAAATGTAATTATATATATACATATACATATACATATATATATATATAATTTAAATAATATTTAATATAAAAATTATACACACACACACACTTATTTAATTATAACAAAAATGTAAATGCTTAATAATAACAAAATAAAACATTCCGGGCTGGAAGCCTCCCCCCCCACCTGCACTTTCCAAAGAGACAGAAGAGCCTTTCAGATGCCAGGTGGAAGATTGAGAGAGCTCAGATCTGCAGCGGAGGAAAAGCTGGGGTGGGGGGGAGGTGGTTCTAGCCTCACCTGGAGACAGGCAAGGAAAGGTGTCACTGGGGGCACTTTGCTGCCAAATCCAGCCACAGCCAGTGATTATTTAGGGGCAGGGGAGGGGGGGAGAGAGAGAGAAAGAGAGGAGAGAGAGAGAGGGAGAAAGTATCACTCGGATTACCAGAGAGAGAAAGCATTTCTCGCATTACCAGGAGAGGAAGGAGGTGAAACAAAAATCACTCTTTCACTGAGACCTACAAAACACCAATCTACAGCGTTCCAGGAGATCTTAAAAACCAGCAAACGCTCCCACTTGCAGTTTCTGCACCTCCTGGCTCAGGTCCCTGAGATGCACGCTCCCACACACGGCAGCAGTGGCAACACACGGCAGCAGTGCCCGCTGTCAGCTCTACCCATTAGTTCTCTAGATTTGAATTGCTCCCAGCTCTCTCTCTTTGCTCCCCTCCCCACGCCCACGTGCAGGCAGGAAAGGAAAGGGAGACAGAGCCATGCGCAGCTCTCTGCTTTTCCAGCCCTTGCTGCCCTTCCCAACATCGAAACCTCGGAAACGCAGGCAAAGCTGCCACAGCGGTAGCGCCCTGAGTTGTTTGCTTCTCTGCTACTGCCTCCTCCTCCTCCTCCTCCTCCAGCACCTCCTCTGGGTAGGGCAATTCTTAACTTAACCGAGCATGCTAAGGCAACTCAGGGCGCTACTGCTGTGGCGGCTTTGCCAATGTCTCTGAGGCTTCGATGTTGGGAGAGGCAGAGAGGGCTGGAAGAGCAGAGAGCTGCGCACGGCTCCATCTCCCTTTCCTTGCCTGCCTGCAGATGGGCGCCTGCAGATGGGGGAGGAAAGAGAGGCAGGAGCAATTCAAAGCTAGAGAACTAATGGGGAGAGCTAACAGTGGGCACTGGGGATGGGGACTGTTGTTGCCGCCGCCATGTGTGGGAGCTGGTTGGCATGTGCATCTCTGGAACCTGACTCCAGGGTTCCTCGAAGAGCTGGAAGTCGAGAGAACTGCACGGCCCAGATTAATTGGTTTCGGGGGCCATTTCTTCGGCCTACCAAAATTTTTGGCGACCGCTGTTCTGGACCATTCTTGATAGGTAAATAACTATGCTCCCAATAGTTATTATGTAGCTAAAGTAAGAATGTGCCATACCTGCATTAATAAATTGTTTGAGCTCAACACATTATTTCTTAGAAACAGTTCTAATTTGGGATGGTAAAATACATCTTAGTAATTTTTTCTTGTTAGAATGACATTGAAATTCAGTCTGGTAGATCTCATCTATATCAAATGACAAAATTTGGCAGAAAAGATTATACATTATATGTGTGTGTGTGTGTGTGTGTGTGTGTATGCGCACACAATACACACACACACATGCATATTTATATTTATTTACTGGAGACAAAAATCATGTGGAGAACAGAATTTATTTTCACAATATTGCATTTGGTATGTAGTTAAAGTGTAGTACTGGAGACCCAGATTCTAGTTCATCTTCTGGTATAGAAAATTCAGACGTCACTCTCTCAAATCAACGATTATTGTAGAGAAAACAAACAGGCCTTACGGTGTGCTTATACATGAATGCCAAATAAAATATTAACACTAATGTTATTATTGACCTATGATGTTTATAAATTTAAAAGTATTATATTTTATAAGAAAAATGATTCTTTATAGACCATCAAAATAGTTCCAAGCAAGTTCTGCGATCACAGCCAAGAGATGAGGACTTTGAAGGAGCTCCATGGAATTGTGACAGCTGTACTTTCTTGAATCATCCAGCACTGAATCGTTGTGAGCAATGTGAAATGCCGCGGTATGCCTGAATACAAGGTCTACTTTGTATTGAGGTGGGCTTTTGAAATCTCAGCCATAGGTGAAAATTTGGGGGAATTTTTCAGTTCTCAACCAGATCATTTTCAATTTTTGAGAGAAAAACCTCTTTTTCATTCATGCTGCACTAAAGATTAGCTTATGGATACATACTCTTATCCCATGGTTGTAAGAAAGGTTGAAAAGGTTTTCTGAATCCAAGATGGATTTTCTTTGAAGAATGTATGCAGGAAAACAAGTGATTACTGTTGTTCTAGCCCCCAGAATTACATTTGCTTGTTAGTAGTCCTTATGCATATTTTTATAAGCATTGAACAATTACTTTGTGAAGTGTTAATTCAGACAAACTGTGAAGAACCAGAGCTAATCTGGCCAGAGCACGCTGGAAAACAAGAGCTCCCTATGTTTCCAGATTGTAAACTACTGAAAAAGGGGGACTCAAAGAACAGAAAAGGATAATCTGAAATGCTGCTTTTTTCAGGGTAAATTAAGTCTACACAATTGCTGTTTTGATATTGTGAATCATGGTGAGGAGGGAAAAGTACTGTACAATCTTATTTATAGAGTACAATCAGAAGTGATTTTATAGTCTCTTTTGCTTGTATAGCATTCACCAAGTCATGCTAACACTGGTAATTAAATAATTATACCATATTACACAGAAAAAATAGTGGTGCATGCTTTCATTAGGACTTTGTATTTTAAAGCTAAAAAGTAAAAGTATGCTTTTAAAAATTATGTTCCCTTGAAACTGCTTGACAGTGGAGCAGACATAAACCAAATGCAGAACTGTTCCAAGTTCTTTTTTGAAAACTTGAGTTCAGCCATTGATAGCATAAGAAATGTTTGCACCCTCTTTCTTAGGCCTTTCAGCTTTCACTTATGTGAAGAATTCATGATGTTTACAGCACAGAAGGTACTTTGTGCCCTCATTCTGATTACGCTGAAAACCACTAATCAATATGAGTTCTCCAATAAAGTGTATTTGCACATTATCAGTAAACTAACTTATATTAATTAGTATGAGTAGTGGTTTTTGAAATGTTGCACATTGCATTTTGGTGTGACCTTGGTCAGTTAAAGGGTATAGAGAATCCAGAAATGGTATAGAGCAGTGGTCCCCAACCTTTTTTATGCCGCAGCCCGGTACCGGCATCGGCTGGGCGCCGCCATCTTGTTTTGATAAAAAAGTGCTTCCGGTGAGCTTTCTACCCGGAAAAGCTCACCGGAAGCACTTTTTCATCAAAACAAGATGGCGGCGCCCAGCAAACCAGCGGCCCGGTAGGATTTGTTCCACGGACCGGTACCGGTCCGCGGACCGGTGGTTGGGGACCCCTGGTATAGAGAATCCAGAAATTGAATTTTACTAATACCTGTATGAATATGTTAATCACAAATAGGATATTTTATTTATGAGTGCTTTAGGATACTAAAATAAAGCAATCCTGTTTGAAGTTCAGTCAAAAATAAAATAGTTTATTCCTTTTTCACACTGATGAATCACTAGGACAGTAGATTTTACTTCCTACACACTCATTACTCTGGATTTTGCAAGGATTACAAAATGGAGAATCGTATTTTATTTGTGCATATCTTACTCTTATGTGTTGGTATTATATATGATATAATTTCTGTTCAAATTGGAATGTATTGAATGCAATGGATGTTAGTCCATAAAATTCTTATAGAAGCTATATGGAATCAAGCTTGATTCAGTCAATCAGATAGAACAATTAAATTAGCGCTCATGTTAAGGTTTTTTAAAGTTGACTTTTACACTATAACAAATATGATTCTGAGAGGTTAAAAGGGAACTTGTAAGAATTCTGTATCCCTACTTAAGAGTAAAATTATGAAGTTATTTTTTTTACCTAGAGGAAAAAATATGTGAAGATACAAAGACTTTCATGTATTCTTTTTTAACTTATCTATTAAATCACATTAGTATTGCTCCTTAGTATTGGTCACAACTTTATTATCTTTTTAAACAACCTTCTGCTTGGCACTTACTCAACTGCTGCTACAGGAAAGGGAATTGTACTCATTTAAGTTCAGAACATAAATAGCATGTTTGGAGGTATACCAGATTTTAGTTGGTGAGGAGATACTTAGAAGTATTAAGCTGACTTTATCTTAGTTTTTTTTTTCTGGAATTGGAAAGCACCATCAAAATTTCTATAGAGTTTTGATGAATGGACACATTTATAGGAACTTAAGGTTTCCTTATCTTATGCCATGAGCAGGGAGTTCTTTGGACATGCCATGCTGTGTGAATTCAGTATATTTGTATAATGCCCAGACTAGATTGTGGAATTAATATAATGTTCATTGATTTACTTATACTTTCACTACTGAAGTACAAGTCAAAACACAGTTTGTAGTGAGGAAGGTAATAGTGTAATTGCAGTGTGCAAAAGAATCCTTTTACCAGTTTACTTGTAAATGTCCTTTCACATTGTTATTACAATGGGATGATAGCAGTGAAATTAATTTTAATATGTAAGTAGTTCATGTGAATCTATTCATGTCTACGTAGAAAGTACCCAGAAATAAGTGAATTCAATCAAAATGGATTTAGGTTATGCCAAAATAATTGACGATTGTCTAAAAGGTTTCATTAAAGTCTGGACTCCTTGTAGAATAGAATAGAATTCTTTATTGGCCAAGTGTGATTGGACACACAAGGAATTTGTCTTGGTGCAAATGCTTTCAATGTTCATAAAAGAAAAGATACATTCGTCAAGAGTCAAGAATCATAATTATGAATTATGTTTAATCCACAAAATGTACTGCAATGCATACAGATTCAGAATATGTGTGTGTCTGAGTGGTGGGATTCTGAGGCCATCCTGAATTTTTAAAATGCACTACTTTTTAATAATAACTGATTTTCCCTTACTCATAGGTCTTGGGTGAATCTGTTTACTAGAAAATTCAAGAATACCTTCTAATTCCCCAAAACCTTTTCTTTATACATGTCTTGTGTATTTAATGTTATTAAAATGTATCCTTTCACATATATAAATATATCCCAATTTTAATTGATAGAATATCTTATAGCAAGCCAAAATTAAATCCTGTACTTGATTATTTGATGAAACTATCAAGCTGGCATGTTTGTGTAGGAAGAGAGGGCTAAGAAGAAAAGAGACACTGTTTTGTAAAATCTGATGGAGATGTGTGTTTCTCTGTGATATGTATGTATTTTTCCTTATGGCAGATGTGTGAAGCAAATACAATTTTTAAAGAGCTGGTCTCGGTCATATTATTGTCATGTTTTCTCTCAGTTATTGTATACTTTAGTTCTGTACACTTCTTATTTCCCATCCTTTTTTATTGTAAATTTCTTTAAAATCTCTCGGATTTTACAGACTTGGAAATTAGGACAAAATATTTTAATTTTTTTTTTTACGAGTACATGGAAAAAATTAAATATTTGGTTATGACTTTGTAATCTTGAATTTACAAGCTTCTAACTTGAGAAAGTGTGTAGTGCAGTCTCAATGTGAAATAAGTTCACAATATAGCATGGAATAGCAAGATAGGCTGTCAGTCAACAGAAGATTGAAAATGTGCAGAGAAATAAATGCTTATTATAGTTAACATTGTGTCCATGTGTTATATTTGCTTCTACAGATAACCTTTAAAGTTTATCACCTGTGCGAGAAAGCGAATCCTTAATTGGTAGGTTAGTTGAATTAATATAATAGCTTACTCTTTTTTTAAAAAAATTAATATGTTCTTTAAAGCCTGTATATTTCACCTATATCTTCTGCACTGTTGAAATTCTGTTAACTTTATTCACTATAAAAGAAAACCATGCTCTTTCTAATTATAAATAGGGTATTTTCCTATCATGTGGATTTGTGAATGTTGTGAATAAAAACTATTATTACAGATAAAATGTATAAGACATTAAGAGGCGCTGCATGCATGATTTTCCAAATAACATACTGAGCACTACAGTTGCCTAAACCCAATAAACTAAGAAAATGTAACGTTCTGCTTTTGGTTTTATATGTAGCAAGAATTTGCAGTTTCTTTAAATCTTTCATCTTAAAATAGAGTATCCTTATAAGTGTATTGCATTTTTTTTCCAAATATAGATCCTTTGATCTCTTTATTGAACTTATTGTCAGCCTTTCTTGCATGTTAAGCCACAAATGGTGGTGCTGTGCAATGGAAAATTAGAATTTTTCTACTTTATTCATCTTTTATATATCTCATTATACCTGCTTTGCTTTTTAATTGTCCAAAAGATATCCATAATATTTTTTAATTTTTTTCAGCAAGAATTTATATGGTTAGACAAAGGACAGCTTACTTTTATGTAGCCATTTAAACAGGTATGGCACTTCATTCAGCCAAGACAATCCATTCAATATTGCTTCAAAAGTTTAGTTGATTTTAAGGGGAATTAATGGCATCACTTTAGTTTAACAATTCCTGATTAAACCTCATTGCCAATATGTCCCTTTCCCCCCTGCCTGAAGATAGGAAGCCATTATTTACACATTATGTCAGGTGAGGCTCCATTCAAAATCCAAGAAAGAAAACCTTAGACTCCATTGTTATAGAGAAAAGGACTTTTACTGAAAATTGGTGGTAGCATCAGAAGGATACAAGATCTGAAGCAATAGGCACGAAAATAACATATAGAAAGTTACCCTTTGTTCCCATCCCCAATAATTCAAACTGGCTATCCAATCTGAGATGTGTATAATATCATGTGGGGCATCTTCAGATGGTGTTTCAGACATCTGGTATGCCAAGATGGTTACATCTGTGCAGTAAACAAGTAAGCATAGTCAAGAAAACATCCCAACTTTTACATTTCACCATCTCAGACCTCCAGCACTCTTCCCCCCACGAAGTCCACTTATTATTCCCTCCCCCCGTTTCTATGGCAGCCGGAAAGATAAGCAGAAGGATTCTTGGAGGCTGACACATTATTTTACAGAAAACAGGAATAAATCAACTGGAAAAAACCACTTCACGCATTCCTAATGGTAGTCCTAGCCATTCAGTTGGTTTTTCTTCATAGAAATAAGCAAGATGACTGGTAATGGTTTAATGCATTTCAAATTCCCAGAGGTTGTGAGAGGAGCTGCTGGCTGCTTGTGAAGGAAGCAGAGGGGGAGTAGAAAGGAGAAAGATAGCAGCCCGCGCACCTAACAGCGCGCTAATCATATAACTATAAACCAAGAATACCAATAATAAGTTTCAGGTAAGTGCGCTTGAGATTGTGATTTTATTTTATTTCAAAATGACTGGCTTAGTTCAGTGTAATACTTGTTTTACAGCTGTCTTTTGCAGTACCCTTTTCAAACTTGGATATTGTCCTCTGTAAAAAAATTACCAGTCTACATGGACAGATTACCTATCTAGAATCTCTAATCTGTGTTCTCCAAGCAGAAATTAGGTGCTCAATCCAGCCATCTATTGAGCTGCCGTGCTACTAGCCCCCACGACCACAAAGATCCTATAGGGAAAGAGCAGTATGGACAACCGTGGGATCTGGCAGGGTGAAAGCTGTGGACCATAAAGGCAAAGCTTTTGCTGTGTCCCTGCATAACAGATACAGTGCCCTTGCTGACCTTAATAGGGACACTAAAGTGACAGGTCAAGGTAGTTGTGATAATGGTAACTCAAGTAAGCCGGGGATCATGGTCCTAGAAGAAGAACTTACTTTGGAAAGGAGAAAGTGTGAATCAGGTATTACGCACCAGTCACACAAGAAGAGCAAGGCATCCAAAAACAGAAGCCACCTTTTCTGGTTGGGGACTCAATTGTAAGGGATGTAAATTTAGGAAAGGATATTGAGGTTTTGAAAGAGGTCGGGTGTCTACCAGGTGCTACTGCCAGCAGAGACAAGCGTATTCTTAAGATAATCAAGAATGCCAGCAAGGACTGTGATGTTGATGCTATTATACATCTTGGTACAAATGAGCTGTCCCAGAAGGATGTACTTTCTGTTCAGAAAGATATAGGCTGTAGGCTTATCTTTTCAGAGGTTCTACCAGTATACAAGGATCAAAAAGGGAAAGGGCAGCGTGTAGTAGAGTTTAATGTGTGGCTAAAGGAGTGGTGTAAAAGGGAAGGCT